TCACTGCCCCTGAAACAGCAGCCTTTGAGAAATTCTCTCAGTAGTTTTGAGACTCTGCATGCACAGCCGCAAGGCCTGTGCGAAGCAGCAAGTATTTGATTCAGCTTCGGATTCGGCCAATTTGAGGGGACAGTGATTCGATTTGGTGATTCGGGGGGGAATCCCTGCATTCACCAGCTGCAACAGCAGCTATCGGGGCCCCGGGGGCTCATGGCAAAGCCCCCCCAGCACAGTACAGGGCAGCAGGGATCGGCCCTCCCGCCTGGCACCTGTGCGGAAGCTGTCAAATCGCATGGGTTCAGCATGGCTCGGCAGAGTCCTGCACACTGTCAGTCACCCAGCAGCACTCAGTCCAAGTGGCCCCAACTCCTGGACAGCGTGCAGAACCCTGCAGCGCCCTGCTGAGCCGCGCAGAGTCTCCACTGCCCTGCACTGCATGAGGGGGCTTTGCCACGAGCCCCCAAAGGCCCCAATCAATGCTGCTGTAGCTGGTGAGTGCGGGGCTTTTTTTTAGTGCCAGGACTCTGGGGCCAGGCAGGGTGGGGGCCGGGGGAGCTGGTGGGGCATGGGGCCAGGCAGGGGTTCCCCCATAGCCCCTCCCCCTGCCCCCTATTTATTGGCATGGAGCCTGAGTCCAGCTCCCTGCGGTGGCAAGCAGGGACTGTCCAAATCTCCAAATAGATTCAGAGGCTTCCGAATCTATTCGGACCTTTTAATGGGTCTCCTGATTTGATTTGGAGATTTGGCCCCTGAATCAGGCCAAATGTCCTCCGAATCAAATCAGCTACTGAAGCTTCGCACAGCCCTAGTAGCTGCAGCAGTCTGGGCCTGCAGGGCACAGGAAAATCCATCTCCATTGAAACCTGAGGAGAAGCATAGGGAGGCAGGCTGTGACTTGGGTATGAATTTGGCTGAGGCTGAAAGGCTAACTCCTCTGTCCTGCAACTTTTCTAATCGGCTCTACATCTTGGAGGAAAGCAATGTCCCTTGTTGGACCCCCCCCTTCCCTTTCCCTGCATCATCATTCGTGAGCTCAGGTTGGTCCTGCTCCAGGGAGAAGCAGTACCTCTCAGACTGCCTGGAACATCACACAAATGTTTGCCCATTCACTTTGCTTATTCACTTTTGTAAGGTGAGCAGGTGATAGCCCCAGTGATGCACTGCTGACCTGGGGCAGGAGGAGAAGATACTGGATAGGATGATATCTGGTACTTCAAAGGGCTGGAGCTGAAATGAAGCTGAAGTGGTGTTTTCAAAATGTGTTGTCCTGCAGGGCATGGAGGCTACTCTGACCTCGGGGGGACAGTGCCAGCCGTAAGGCTGCTGGTGGGGTGCAGGGAAAAAGTGAAACTTAAGTAAATCTGCATCCTGTTTGGAAGGGATCTGTTGCTTGGAGTAACCACCTTTTCCTTCTCTCAGTCCCAGAGCACAATGTGATCATGACTACGATAAGCAAGCACTCCAATGTCAAGACTTTCACAGAAAAGCTGCTGCTACTGCTGAACAGGGGAGGTGAGCGTCTCTGTGGCTTTATTACTTTCCCAGCAGGAGGGGAAGGCTAATGGCAACACAGATCTAAAGAAATGAGCCTGATGCTCATTAAGAGGTGAAAGTGTGTGGGGGGGGTCAGCTGGCAGATGAGCTGAAAAGCCTGCTTAAGATTTGCTGCCTTTGTCCAAGGTGTAGTCTCCCGTTGCCAAGCTGCATTCTGAAGGACATGGCTGCTGGAAAGAAATCCTGCTGTTGACATCTGCTAGCTTACATGATGATGTCCATTGGGCTGATATTTGCTTGCAAGCTGTTCCCCACTGGCTTTTGTGGGCTGAGACACTTGGAGGCAAGGCAAGGAGTTGTCTTGAGGTGCAGGGGAGTTGGCTCCTCCCTGGCTTGGAAGCCAGGTTTCCCCTTACCACGTGAGAGTGCATTGTGCTTCGCAGCCAGGGTCTGTGTGACTTTGTCCATTGGACTGATGGGCTCCTGTCACTGCCCTGCTTGGAGTCCAGCTGGCAGGGCTGCCTGCCTTGGTAAACTCTGCTTACGAGGCACCGTTCCCACTCTACTTCCCTAAATAAGAGTTAGTTCTGCTGCTGCCGGAAGCATGTTAAACCCAATGTTTGTGTAGAGCCTTTATACGGCAAGTCATCAGACTCCTGAAGAGCTCTGCTCCCCCCCCCCCCCCCCCCCCCCCACCATGCCATGCCAGGTCTTTCTACCTATTCCTGCACCCTGGCACATTTGCCTTTTGCTGACTTCTGGAGCACTGGATCCTTGCTGCTTTGGCTTTATTGATTTTACTGTTAAATAACCCGACCCATGTCTATCGTCTCTGGAGTTCTTCGCTCAGGTTTTCATTCCCTTCAGGGCTGAGCGTCATGGTCTGTGTACAGCACCTGCAAAGGCTGCTGGCAGCCTCAGTGCTCCTCCACTTGGTCTCCTCCCAAAGACTCTGCTTAACCCTTTCACTGCATGATTACCTGATGCCTCCACCTTGTCCAGAGAGGCTGTAGTAAGCAGCAGAACTTAGGTAGCCACAGACTCCTAGTGAGAATCACACCAGCCCCCTCCTTCCGCTTGGGTGGGGAGGGGAGTTCCTGTGGTCTGGAAAGCCTTGAGGTCTGTAGCACTAGCTTTTTCCAAAAGGGTGGGGAGGGGGAATACAGCAGCGAGCTGAAGCCTGGAGATGTGCTGCTGGCTCCGGGTAGATGGTTAGGCTGGTCCCCATGGTGAAGGCTCATGCTAGCCCTGCTGGCTGCTCAGAGGGGTTCGTAGCAGGATTAATAAACCGGGGCGAAGTGAGCCATTGTGGCTCAGCCAGGCCAGGAGCAAGACAGCATTTTTCCCTGCAGCATGCTAGGTACAATGCAGACAGGGATTAAGTGAATACCAACAAGCCCTTAGGCACCCTGTTCTCTGCCCATGTCATAGTTTCATAGTAGGTAGGGTTGGAAGGGACCTGAGCAGATCATCAAGTCCGACCCCCTGCTATGGGCAGAAAAGGATGCTGGGGTCAAACAACCCCGGCAAAGTATCTATCTAGCCTCCTTTTGAAGACCTCCAGGGTCCCTTGCAGCAGTGTGCCATGGGCCATCTCCTGGGCAAAACACGAGGTGCTGAGGGAACATCCAGCCCTACCAGGATACTCGCACTTGCCCTGGCTGGGTTGATTTGGGACTGGGGGCAGGGCAGCCACATTAGCATGATGCTGCACTGGGCTCACACAGACACGCTGTGCTGTGTACACAGCCCACGTTCTGTGGTGCAGGCTGGTGATGTGCAGATGTGTCGCTAGTGCTCAGGTGAAGCCCTGGCAGAGGTGCAAGAATCCCTTCTCCTTCCTTCGCTTCTGGTGAGAAACTGCATGTGTATGTTAACACATGTCCTCCTCTCTCTGGACCCCAGATGATCCTGTCTGCATCTTTAAGCACCAGCCCCAGCCACCACACTCAGTGCTGAAGTTCCTCCAGGACATCTTTGCCGGCAAGGACACGGCCCGCATCTTCTATCACACAGACATGATGGTGATGATTGACATCACGGTGCGGCAGATTGCAGACCTCTCCCCGGGAGACAAGGTACCAAGCACAAGGCTCTGGGTAGGGGCAGGGACTGGGGCCTCGAGAGGCAGAGTTACTGTGGGGTGGTGCTGTGCAGCCAGGGAGGGGCACTGGAGCAGAGCAGTCTGGAGCAGCGGTGGGTGCTTGGGCTAGGTGGAGCACTTATTTCTGGACCCTTCTCTCCTGGCTTGGCAGGACTGGCCAAGCAGCCTGCAGGGGCTCTGCAACCTTGTGGCCTGCCACCGGTCCAGCAGCTGACAGGCAGCCCAGACTTCTTGACAGCAGGGCCAGCGGGGAGGCCAGCCCCCTTTCTGCCTGTTGTCTGCTGAAAGGACATGTTTATGCGTGGTCCTGGAGGCCCTGAGAATGCACTGACTTTGGAAATAGACACATTCAGCCACGCACCTGTCTTCTAGGGAGCTATCAGGGCTCTGTCAGAGAATCCCCACATTCCTGTCGCGATGGGTGGCACCAGCTCTTGGGAGCACTAGTGGCCTGGATTGTTCTGGAGTGTGGGAGGGCAGGGTCGGTTTCCCTCCCCAACAGAAAATGGTCGAAAGTGCTCGCTCAGGGTACTCAGGGGTTTTGGCTAATGCAGTCACTTGCCATGCAGGCCAGTGGGCTTTCCTCAGGGCTTCCAAGAGAAAAGCAGTTCCCTTTCTTAGCCCCTGTATGAAGCAGAGATGGGAACATGCTGCTGTAACTATTGCCAAGGCTGGTGGAAGCAAGATGTGCAATTTTGGGTGGAGGAAGAGGAGGTGTGGGTGATGGAGTCCTCTCCTGCTGGTCACCTGGCAGCAGCTGTTCTGATTTTAATGCTTTAATGGGAGCTGGCGCTCTGGCTTACCTTGTATAAAGTCTCTCCCACTTTCTGCAGCTGCGGATGGAGTATCTGTCTCTAATGCACGCAATCATCCGCTCCACACCCTATCTGCAGCATCAGCACCGCCTCTTGGACCTCCAGGGGATCCTGCAGCGCATCCTGGCTGAGGAGGAGGAGGGGCAGCAGTGCCAGATGGACAAGATGATCATCTGGGAGATATATAAGGAGTTCCCAGAGATCGCTTCTGGCACTAGCTAACCGGACCTCGCACTGGACTGAGAGACCCACTTGGATCGTAAACATCTCTTGTTGACACTTCCTCCCCATCCCTGTCCAGTACAGCTCATACCTTGTTATTCCTTCAGGTGAGGCCTAGGGTTCAGATAATGCCAAAGGGCCTTTTAGAAGTGTCAGCAGTGCAGGACCCCAGTGGAAAGCGCCCCCCTGAGTTCTGCCTCCCCCGGGAGAGCTCTGACACTGAGTGGAAAGCGGATTGGCACAAGGGTGCAGATTCGTTACCGGGCCTGGGATAGGAGGGTGTTGGTTACCTGTCTGAGTGTAGACAGCAGGGGCTTATCAGGCTGGATGGCCTTGTGTGTTCAGCTCTGCTGGTGTTTGAGGTCCCAAAGCAAGAGGCCTTTGCCTTAGCCTACCCCTTCTCCATATGCATCTCTCCCTGCAGTTACCCAGGTGAGTCCGCCAGTGCTTGGAAGAAGCTTCTGTAACATCTGTTTTGTTTGCTGCTAGTGCAAAAGTGCCACAGGCCTGGCAAGGGAGGCACTAACTGGATCTCCAGTACAGTGTCTGGGGAGCCATACCTGCCTGACCCCAGGCTTCATTCTAGGTTGCAGCCTGCCAGCCTGGCTGGGGTCTCCCCCGACAGCTGCTTGCTCTGGTTTGCTTCCATCGTGCTGCTTAGGTTTGAATCCCATGTGCACTGTGCTGGCACAGAAGTAATGGTTGTTGCAGTGATGTTGTTCCCAGAAGCCTCTGGCCTCAACATGGGTCTGAGGCATGTCCTGCTTGGTGACAGCTGTAGCCTGCCTCCTGCTGTCTGCCCAGTTATTTCCTCTGGTGTGTAGCTGGGGGCAGGGAGTGCTGCCTTTAACGCCTGTGGATTCCTTGCCTTGAGCTTAGTAGTGGTTGGCTCTGCCTTGCCGTATCCCCTCTCCCTGTGACAGGGTGCTTGAGCCTGGCATTGTTGCTCTGTGAAGTGCGCGTGTGGAGACCCCTTCAGTTCGATTTCTTCTAGGGACCTAGCAAAAATTCCTGTCACAGATGTGGTCCCCAACTGACTCGGGTCTGTTGAGCATGGCACTCTGCCCATGCTGTATGAACCATTGCTCTGTCACTAACCAGAGGACCCTCTTCTGGAGCTTGGCAGCGCTCTGCATAGAAGCCATTAGAACTGGATATGCTTTAAACAACAGGTTGTTAAAGCATAACTAAAGCCACGGGCCATGGGTGTGAAGCCCTGGGAAGGGCACTGGTTGTAAAGCTCAAAGAGTGGGAGTGGGATGGGAGGTGGTTGTTGGCCTTCCCACGGTGAACAAACAGCCCCGTGAGAAACCTCTGTTCCCCTGTACAAATGTATGATTGTCAAAGCAACCTGTATTTTCTTAAACACTAAAGTGACTGTAACTCGCAAAGGAATAAACGTCTTAACTGTGCAAATGTGTCTCCTGCTTGTGGCATCCAGGTACTGGAGGGGAGGGGTGTTCCCCGGAGGTTGGGGTTGGGGAGAGGCTGTGTGAGAGAAGGCTGTGCTGCTGTGTGTAAGGAGTGCCTACTGGGGAGGCTGCGAGGCCCATTTCAGAAAGGCAGGCAGCCCTCCATCTGCTGCCACATGGTGTTAGCTGTGAAACCTCAGGCCATTGACCTACATGAGAGGCTTTGCAGTGCCAGAGCTGATTTTAGACACCAGAGGATAATGCAGGGCAATGCCAACTGGGCACCATGCCCACAAACATCTAGCACCAAACTCCACCAGCCTCCCCTCCTTCCCTGACAGGATGGGCAGGAAGTTGGGGAGCCAGTCACCCCGGGAGCTTCTGATGCGAGTCAGAAGGATGTGGGTTCTAGCGGAGAGGAGAGCAGGCCCAGGCTGGGGACAGCCATGGCAGTGACTGTGACATGGCCTGTGCCAAGGCAATGTCTCTGCTGTTGGTGCTAAAGCAGCTCAGCTCACATGGTGTGCCCACTGCTTATGTGTTCGCTCAGCAGAGCTGCTGG